TGTTCAGTGGGATTATTGGAACCGATTTAATTATTGATGTGGGTATGATGACGGTACACTCGAAGCATATGATGAAGCACATTGTGATGAACAAAGAATACCAGAAAATAAGAATATAGCAGTTGAATGTCTTGCTAAAAAAGATAAGAGGTATATACTATTAAAAATCTATTCAAAAAACATTTTTAGGAAACTAAAATGTATCTTCAGCTTTAATAAGTACCTGATTTTTAGGCCCGGATTGTCAGTGGGGTGACCAGAAGGGAGAGGAAGATAGCATAGGAATCGTTTATGTAAGTGTTCATATATTCCACATATTGAATAATTCCACATACTGAAGATAGCATATAAAGGATTTCTCTGTTTTATAAAAGTTTATTGGGTTGATGATGACAAACTGATTTTTTTTTCCAAACGTGGAATAATTCAAGATACTAAGAAAGCAGTTATAATCTATCAAATTTAAAAAAAAAAAACAGAATTATAGGTGTACAATGTAATGGTTGATGTATATCAAATGTGTAAAAAAAAAATCCATAGAAATAAAAAGCAATGACATATTCGGTCATTAACACAAGTATGATTCAATACTTTGGTAAGTACATAATATATAATTCTCATTTAAAATCGAACAAAATAAAATATTTGTGTCTTAATTCCGGTATGTGTATTTTAGAATTATTCTTTTTTCTTTTAAAATGTTAGAAAATCTATCAGTGTGATTTTTGTTTTATCGCGTTCTTTTACAATACTGGGCGAACCAAGACCTCCTGAAGTAAAACAGTCAATGTCCAAGTTAAAAAAAATGATAAAGAGTGAAAAAAATAGCTTTCAGATGGAACAAAATGGGATTTTTTATTATATTTTTGTGAGCCGTCGAAGTACTTTTTATGTATGCTGTCAAAAGTGTTATGTACAGTGTCAAAAACATGAAATGGAAACACAGAGAAATTTGCAAATTAAAATAAAATCAATATACGAGTTCTTGCAATAGAATATCATTTTATTTTATATTAGTCGCCCGCGTGGCGCAGTGATTAGAGCGTCTGCTCTAGAGTCGCGAAGTAAGGAGTTGATCCTTACGTCGCGGGTTCGAATCCCACTGTGGGACGTTGAGACCGTATAAACCGAGGTCCCTTGTCGCAGTACATGTAGGTGCTGGCAAGAAAAAGATCCCTCACTGCTCAATGGCCGTAAGTGCCGAGTATAGGACAAAATTTGCAGCTCTCCACTGGCAAGTGGTGGCGTCTCCATTGAAAAATTCTCGAGAGGGACGTTAAACAACATACAATCAATCAATCATTTTATATTAGCTATACTCTCTTATACGCTTTATCCTTTCTTCTTTCTATCTCTCTCTTACTTTTCTCTATGTAATATCTCATATGTAATTTCCTAATCAATTTCATCTTTACGTTATTCTGTGCAATCAGTTTTGCACAATTAGACTATATACATGTATGCTATCTTTCTTAATATCCCCGTGTCAGGTTCACGTCCTTGTGGATTGAATCAACACTCCTCTAGTTGTAATAAAACTTTTTAAAAAGTGTTTCCTTTATGCCAGTGATCGTTGTCTCTAACACAAATGTATTTACTCTGTCTCTCTCTTTCTCTCCGCCTATTTCAAAACAACATTGTCCCTTTCATAATCAATAATGATGATTGTCTTTGACGAATAAGCCATTTTTTAAATTCAGATTTGGACGAGTGATAAATGAGATATTTTGATAGATAATTGGGATGTGAGTCCAATTAATGCGTATTTTATTGACCATTGCATGTATATGCGACTTTTTTTGAGGTAAAAAATCATGAATAAATCACACTGTTACGGTAACTTTTAATTAGATAAGAACTACATATACATGTATTAGATAAAGATTATTGCTTCCTATGTCTGAATAATACCTGTGCTTAGTGAAAAACTTGACATCAAATTTTCCGTTTTCCGTTCCGTTTTCAGTTCCGCGTTTAAGTACACCCTCCTAGAAAGTGGTGTATATATAGTGATAGCTATTGGTGTCCATCCTTACCTTTTTTCATACGTTCGTAACACTCGAGGGAGCCCATCTCTTATCTGTAACTCCCCAATACCACTGAAAAAAATTAATGAGGTTTCACAATTTTTTTTTTTTACATAGAACCATTGCATGTGCACCTTCTGTATATTTTGTTCTGAGCGAGCATATATTTGGGGTTTCGTAGCAAAAAAATTCATTTGACTTTACTATCATACTCATATGTGAGCAGGCGTGTCATTTTTTGAGCTCAGCGCCCAGGGTACATTTTTTTCAACTTAGCTAGATTCTTATTAATTGAACATATTCTATTGACAGAGACAGACTAACATGGTTCGTTCAAATAACACTAGGGAGAAAAACTACGAGGGTTATACAAAATTTATCACAATTAACTGCTATATAAAAATCCATAAATAATGATTGTCATCAAAACTTTATACATTAATACCTCTACATATATCTATTTTGATTTTTGTCCTGAAATTTCATTCAGAATATAAACAATACTCTGTAAAATTAAATAAACACAGCGCTGGGTTTAGTCTATCTCCGCATGGCAAGGATCTAATTGACGCCTTCATTATGACGTTTGAATCTGATGATACATATACGATTAACGCAAAAAGAAATGAATTAGAAATAATATATGGACAAAAGTCCAATAATTTTAATACTGCAACTCACAACCAGACGGTTTATAGCAAAATGTCATTAAAGATTTGAAAAAAAGCACAAGAGTGCACCTGAAAGGTTTTAAAGATATGCGGTTTGAACTGAAAGTAACGTCATTACATCAGTAACATTCTTGTCGTGCCGGACGATAGACAAAACCTAAGGTTGTGTTTAACTTAATATTATAAAGAAGTATCCTACGTAATCAAATGAAATTTTTAAGGCAAAAATTAAAATAGATAGGGATATTAGCTTGCCAAATATTGTTGAAAACGTTGATTATTAAAGATTTGCCTTTACGTTGGGATCAACCTCCCTTTTTTTTCATTCCATCAATTATTTGCGAATGAAGAATTTCAAGGTTGTATATTGCTATTAATCTTATTTCTTCATTTTTTAGGTTGACCAAATCAAATAGCGATTGAAACATCATCCTATTGATACTCAACAGAATGTGAAGTTGCTGAACTGTACACAGGTTAACAGTGTGATATTAGAGCACAAAGTCTGTAGATATCTAAATGTCCTTAGCTTCCAGCTGAAGATAAATAAACACCATGTAGATAACCAAGATATACCTGTGTGTCACCTGATCACAGAACATACGGCCGCCATTACTGTAACAAGGTAAATGTTAAGAATTATATTTGAAAACTGATATATAATTTTTCTTCATATTATTTTTATACATTTTCAATAACTATTATTTGTATGTTAAACAGCTGGAATACTCAATATTATTGGCATAGCTGTATCTGTATTTATTTATTCATCTTTCGGTTTGCAAAATCAAACAGGGTCTTTGAGGCTCCTGTGTTGTTTCATATCATCGATCTCCTGATTGTCAGCGACGATTTAGGGGGAGGTCCCAAAAATATGACAAGGAAAAAACATAAACTGTCTCCAAACTCGAAAATTCCATTTCTTGTGGGCGTGTATGCGGAATTGGACCTTACTCTTCTTGATAAACTTTTATAAAACTGAAACTTGCCAGTTCTCAATCTTACAGCAACAACAAGTGGGACACAAGCTAAATCAACATGCAGATTTACTTTAGCAATACTGAATAGACACACTCATGAAAAAAGTGATGGGTAGCGGAACCCGCTGACCTCCTGCATTTTGCAGGCCTGCATATATTGTCGCCGTCACCTCTTACTGCAATTTGCAATTATTATTACATTGACCCCCCACCCTATTATTACATTGACCCCCTTGTAGAGTTACTGAAGGGTTTTTTTTTTAAAATCTCAGACTTGACACTTACACAGGTGTTTGGAGGCGTACCCCTGTCTCTTCCGTACCCTATGAGTTCTTCGATTTTTTAAATGAAATATTTTCTATGACACATAAACAAAGTATTATAATTAAAAGTCTATGATATATAATCTAAATCTAATCTTTTATATAAAAAAAAAAATCACACTCACTGATGTTAATGTCTTTGGACAGATTTCTTATCTGCTATGCAACATAAAAGTTTATATTGCAAAACAACTAGATTTTTTCCTTAAAAATCCAACATTTAATCTACGGTTATTAAGCTGAATGTATTTTCTTTGATTCAGGGTAATATTTTCTAACCATGGACCCCGTTCCAGTGCCAAGGACGTGATGCGATGTGACCTATGTGAGACCGCTCTGGTACAGATGCACTGTGATACATGTCTTGTCAACCTGTGTACAGCTTGTGTAGGTAAACACATGATATCTGATGAATCCAAGGACCATAAAGTTGTCAAATTTCAGTCCAGAAAATCAACTCTCCTCTACCCTAGATGTACAACTCACACAGATAACAGTTGTGAGCTGCATTGTAAGGAATGCAATATTCTGGCTTGCTCCGTTTGTATTGCCTCCAAAAAACACAAAGAACATGACGTCCACTTACTTAAAGACATTCTTGCCAGGAAGAAGACAGAAATCTAAACAGAAATTAATGAATTGGAGGAATCCATCTGTCCAACCTACTTGGACATAGCAGTAGATGTGCAAAACTCACTGAGTCAACTAGATGTGAAATATGAAGAAATCTCAATAGCCATAACAAAACATGGAGAGGACTAGCAAAGAGAAATTGACAAACGTATTAAGAAACTTAAAGCTGAAGTAAATGAGATGAAAAACAAAGAAAATTAAACTCTAAAAGCACATTTATCTAATATACAAACATGTACCTCTAAGATAAATGATGATATTATCTCTCTGCACAAATTAATAGATTGTACAGATATTTTTAAAGTGTTAAACTTCCAATTAGACCATAAGAAATACAGAACACTTCCGTCTAAATTTAACGTAACGATGGCACAATTTTCACCACCCTCTGTACAGGAACAGATATCTGAAGTGTTTGGAAAAATAACAGCTGATCAACATTGTTCAGCGTAAGAACAGCACAGGGATTGTAAGGAGCTACATTGTCTCCTTTGCAAGAGAAGACAACAGACACTGGATCCTCTCCTCCACTCAAACAGCTGCTTGATGAACCAAAGACTGTCACAACCATATAGACACCAAGTATACAGGTATACTTAATGGACTTTACAATGTGGCCTGTCTGAGTGATGAAGAAATCTGGACAAGTGGAAATGACAGCACCATGAAACTCTTCAGCATCAATCAGGGATCACGACTCAAATCAATCACAACCAAGTCAGGGTACAGACCGCGTGATATAGCAGTGACAAAAAGTGGAGATCTAGTTTATTCTGATTACAATGATAGAACTGTAAATATTGTGAATAATGAGAAGATAGAGGAGGTGATCAGACTACAGAACTGGAAACCTTGTAGTGTCTCTAGTACCTCCTGTCATGGACAGTGATTATGACAACCAACAAAAGTTGTTCGTTACTCTGGCTCCACAGAGAAGTAAACCATTCAGTTTAATGGTGAAGGTAAATCTCTATATTCAGAAAGTCCTTTTTTCAAACACATTGTAGAGAATAGAAACCTGGATATCTGTGTCGCTGATAATGGATTAATTGGAGCAATAGTTGTGGTCAATCAGGCCGGGAAACTGAGATTCAAGTACACTGGACATACTCCTGCTCCAAAGAACAAACCATTCAATCCACGAGGAATCACCACAGTCAGAGTCACATCCTTACAGCTGATAATTACAATGACTGTGTCCACATCATAGACCAGGATGGAGAGTTCCTCCGTTATATAGACTGTGGACCGAGTCTACCCTGTGGACTGTTCAGATACAAATGACAATCTGTTTGTTGCTCAATATCTAAACAAACGAGTGAAGAAAATCAAATATCAGAAGTGATCTCATTTGAAACAGACTACAAATATTAATGATACATCTGAGTAAACAAATGGATATTTTTGTGCATGCTTGCACTTTAAATTTGACATTTAAAATCATTTTATAACTCAAAGATAATGGGAAGAAGAGTGAATATAAAAACAGAAACCTATAAATCTTTCTCTTCAGGATTTAATCATTTAAGATAACCAATTTTACAAGATTTTTTCACTTGGTAAAAAGAATACAAAATATCTTTTGAAACATGAAAAAAGATTATGAACACATATATATTAGCCAGAAAGCATTTCATTTGGTTTACTGACTGACTAGCCTATAGTAAATACTGTATTTGTTGTAGTCAAGGAATGTATCAACTGTAATGCGCTATAACGTTAATCTTTTTTCTGCACAATATTTTTTTAACTTTATAAATATTAAGAAAATCTTTTTTTTTTTAAATTAATAATTAGATCCTGTCAATTATTTGTATATAGAAATTCTTCAATAATGTCACTTATTTTTTTTCTTTTCTTGTTCTGAAAAGTCTGTGTTTAAGATTTAGCAGAGTGAATAAGAGATGATATGCTCTCTGAATCAAGCTTCTTAGCTGAGTGTTCAGTGTTTATATTGTCAATCTCCGTTTTCCGTTTTTGTCCACTAACATTTTTTTTTTATTTTTCCTGATGCCCGCTGCTTCGGTTTCTCTTCAATAATTGCCTCCATTGATTTGGACTTCTTAATTTCTGGCGCCGATGGATCAATGTTGTACATACGGGAATCAAAAATGGCAGTAAATCTGTCATCCTTCAGATTTATCTGAATCTGCATATCTGTGAAATACATCTGAATTTTATTAATTATCCTGAACTTTATTTTAAGTAAGTAAGTAAATTTTATTTAAAGTCGGCATTTTTTACATAGTTTAACAATGAACATGAGCTCTGTAGAGCTTTAAAACCAACTATCACAGCTAAAAATATCACATAGAAAAACATTTACAACATAAATTAACATGCAAAAAACACATGTACATATATACACACACATGGCAGATAAAACAAATTTAAGAATTAGAAAAAAGAAACAGAAAATTGAAAAGCAAAATGATTGCATTAAGAAGAACAAAAATAAAAAAAAGAATAAGTGTCATCATAATAGCAAATTAGATTAAGCACTACATTAAACACATAGATTCAGATTAAAAAGTACTAATTGTATTAATAATAGAAAAATAAAATTGTTAGCTTAGAAACTTAAAAATTCAAGCAGATACAGCTTAACCAAAATAAAAGAAAAATAATTGAAGTTCCTCACCAACACACATCCTGTCTAGTGATTGGGTCAGTCCCTACCAACATAGGCAAGATATGTATTGTGAGGTTAGGAAAAAGCAGACATCAAAAACAAAAAAATAAAAAAAACTAGGATCCTGGAGAGTTTACACTTTTGCCATCATTGGATGTTACTCCAAAAGTTTCAGTCCCCAGGGTCCTTATAATTGGAAATTTAAGTAAATAACAACGTTTAATATATAGATATAAAAGAAACTTAGAAAAACTAAATAAAATAAAAGGTGAGGTGGCATCAGTAAAGCAAATGAAAGACTAGTAATGTGCATTCATGGACAGTTATTGTGGTGCATTTACGATGTGTCCAGTGATCACAAAAATCGCACTGTATTGCTTGCTGATTTTTACGCACAGGTTTGTGTCATGCCAGACACGGATTCTTGATTGGATCTGGATTATTTGATATATCACCTCCAAGAAGTAGGAGTTTCAAAGCAAGATATTCAGGTCGGCATTGTTTTGAAATTGATAGCTTCCGGTTTGCCTGATTAAAAATAATTTCGATGCTAAAATTTGGTTCCTGAGTGTTATTGACCAGTACTGTGTTACCTTGTAATGATCTGCATATAAAAGAGTCCGTAGAGGTCAGATCTGTAGGAGAAGTGTCTAAAAAATTGATTAAAATCGCCAAAACTGTGAGCACTCGGTAACCACGTATTCCCGCCATTCCGTGCGGTCTGCGGTCAATTTTAAACAATGTAAAAAGGTACATGTAATGATAACGAACGGTGATTGATCTCAAAAAATCTATAAACAATATAAGTATAAAAAGAGAGCATAAAACACGGACCCTTGGAAATTCCAAAAGTGGGATCAGGTTCCTAGGAGGAGAAAGGATATCCTGTTGACTGATCACACAAATTCAGTATAAAAACAAAGGCATAACAGTTGGTGTGAAACATATCAGCCAAAATAGAACCCAATGATAAGTTACATTTGCTATCAACGTCATTTTAACGACCAAAGTATTAATGAATTGCCGCCATTAAACGAGGTTGTGAAAATCCCTGTAACACCAACTTGTCTGTCAGTAGCTTGAAAAGGTTTAAAAATTGATCGTACTCAGAGCAGGCTCTTGAGTATCAAATAAGTTGGGAGACATAAATATCTGTCAGTAAAATGAAGAATATTCCAGGATATAACCAAAACACAATTAGAAAAAACTGAATGAGAAAACTAAAACAATAAAATCCATAAATACCTGAAATCTCCCTCTGGATTTTGGTCTTTAGAAGTTTTCCTCTTTTTGTTTGATTCTTTCATGATTGACTTCAGATTGAAATGCTTTCTGTTGTCTGCATCTTCATCCATCATCAGAAGTCCCAGCTCATCCTAAAGTAAAAATACAGTACACATATGTAAAAACTTTAGCTCTCTTTTAATTTAAACTTTTACAGAAAATTTGAGGCTGGTAATAACAGCAGGCTAGCTAGCACAGATCTGCACATTGTGTTTGTCTTTGAATATCAAAGGAAATTTTCATAATTCAGTTTAAAATTATTCTTTCCTTGTAATGTAACTTCAGAAAGCAACATTTAGTTGTTCTTAAAAGGGAAAAGCTTCATTGTTTTACTGTCACCCTTTCCAGAAATATATCAACCTGGAAAAAAATTAGTAAACAATTATTTTCCTTGTATTTTATCAATGCTGTACAATTTACTCTGCTAACATTATGTACTGTTAAAGCAGAAATATTTGCTGGGGGTTTAATTTCGTTTATTTCCTTGTTAAATACGAAATAAACGAAATTAAATCTCATACGAAATTTCTATATGACTCTATATTGAATAGGGCTACTTTCGAAACAAGGAAATTTAATGCCTATGAAACCTTCTTTTAATTAATAGATGACAAATCAACGAAATGTTATCCGCACGAAAATATTTGCTTCTACAATATTGTAACCAGCTTTTGATACGGCATGCCAATCAAAAAATCTTGAACTACATATGCATGTATGTGTCATTCTTGATTTCAGTTTAATTAAGGAATCACTGTCTAGTTTGTCGGGTATGTTAGGGACATCAACAACAGTTGGAAACGTGGGATAGTTTTTGCAAATTGCCCCACGTTTTCAACTATCGTTGATACCCTGGCATACCCGTATAAGGAGATTCCATATAATCACATTTATATGTGAAATAAAATTGAGAATATACATTTTAAAAATGCTGCCTAAGAGATTTAAAATACACGAGGCTGTTAATTAATTTTAATATAGCCCCCGCCCACCGACGTCAGACACAAAGACAGCTGTCATCTTGTCAACATCAATTTAAGTAGTTATTAATATTTTGGGGAACTATTCTCTTGTACATATACTGACTATACTTCAAGATTTAGACTGCATAAACAGGGCAAAAGATTTATAATACATTCTTTCATATCGTATTTTATTTCATCAGAACATTTTTCTCCCTTTCATCCCCCTTTTTAGTCTCTCATCTACTTTTCTGTCATTCTTTCTCTTCCACTGTCTCCCCAACTGTTTTTCTCTTCTTTTCATTTCATTCTCTCTCTCTCTCTCTCTCTCTCTCTCTCTCTCTCTCTCTCTCTCTCACACTTTTCTGTCCATTCTTTCTTCTCTTTATCTTATTTTTCTTCTCATTCTTTCTTCTCTCTTTCTTACATTTGTTTTCATCCTTTCTTTTCTGTATCTGACCCTCCTCATTGTCATCTTTATTGGCATTGACATCATAAACTACAGGCTAGTCTTCATCCAGCAAAATTTAAGAAGAAATCATCTACAAAAAACGGAAGAGTAAAAAATGATTTGAATACACACTATATGTGTACACAAAATATATGTCCTTTTTAAGACCAGACAACAGTTCATTAACTGGAAATCTTTAATTAGTCTAACGCAGCATTTGAGCTGATCTTTTTTCAGTGTTAAACCATGGTATTTATTAATTCAATATGGAATTAAATACAAAGTACATGCGTACTTAAGAATATTGATCAATAAATTATGATGAACACGAATGCGCACGGGTAAACAGGTTATGACCGTAGAGCATATTCTATAGATATTTAAATACCCTTAACTTCCAGGTGAGGATATAAATAAACACTAGGTAGATAACAAGGACATGACGGTACCTTCTGCCGCCATAACTGAAATAAGGTAATTAAGTATTTTAGAAATTATATATAATATAGAATTTTCTTCATATTTTTTCTTATCAATATATGTTTACAATCAATAACAGTAATTTATCTATTACACAGAATACTTGTCTTATATATTTTTTGCATGACTATATCTTTATTTTTTTTAACTTTCGGTTTGCAAATTGTCAAACAGGATTTTCTGAAGTTCCCAATCCCCTGAACATATCGCCAATCTGATTGCTGTTGGCGGCAGTATGCACCTCCCCCCCCCCCCCACCCCCACTTCATGATCTTGTCGTCCATCGATAATAATTGTCGCCAGCAAGTCTTATTGCACACATTGTTAACCACCCTCCCCCGTTTCAAAGTAGGATTTGTGAAGATTTATTGTGCTTAATCACAAAGACTAGTCAGGCACATACTATTGGTGTTTTTGGACAACCCCTTCCCTCCCCCACCCTTTCTGTACCCTAAAGTTTATTCGACTTTTATCAAGAAAATATTTTTATTTGACACATTCACAAAGTATTATAATTAAAATCCAAAATATAACCTAAAACTAACCTTTTATAAAAAAAAAAATCACAATCGCTGACACTAGCGTCTTTGGACAGATTCTAGCTTATCACCTTTGCAGCATAAAACTCTGTAATGCAAAATTAAAAAAAAAATGATTTTTTTTATCTGAAAAAGCCAGCTTTTATTCAACTGTAAGCTGTTGTATTGTCCTTACTTCAGGGCAATATTTCCTGAACATGGATCCCCGTACCAGTGCCCAGGATGTGATGCGATGTGACCTGTGTGAGACAGCTGTGGTACAGATGCACTGTAATACATGTCTTGTCAACTTGTGTAAGGCCTGTGTAGGAGAACACATCTCAACAGATGAATCCAAGGATCACAAAGTCGTCAAATTTCAGGCCAGGAAATCAACTCCCCTCCATCCTGGATGTAAAATTCATGCAGAAAACAGCTGTGAGTTGCATTGTAAGGAATGCGATATTCCGGTTTGCGCTGCCTGCATTGTCTCCAAAAAACACAAAGAACATGACGTCCACTTTTTAAAAGACATTCTTGCCAGGAAGAAGACAGCAATCCAAAAGGAAATCAATGAATTAGAGGAATCCATCTATCCAACCTACCTGGATATAGCAGCAGATGTACAAAATACACTGAGTCAACTAGATGTGAAATATGAAGAACTCTCAATAGCTATAACAAAACATGGCGAGGACTGGCACAGAGAAATTGATAAACTTGTCAAAAAACTTAAATCTGAAGTTGAGGAGATGAAAAACAAAGATAATGAAACTCTAAAAACACATTTATCAAATGTAGAAACATGCACCTCTAAGATAAATGAAGATGTTGATTCTCTACGTAAATCAATTGATTCTTATGATGTTAACAAAATCTTAAACCTTCAGATAGACTTGAAGAAATACAGAATACTTCCTTCTAAACTCAATGTTAGCACTGCACAATTCTCACCGCTTGCAATACAGGAACAAATCTCTGAATTGTTTGGAAAAATAATACCAACAACAATATCAGCAGATAAACATGGGTACACCATGAGAACAGCACAAGGATCATTAGAAACATCATCCTGTCCTCTTATGGAGAAAGCATCGGAAGCTGGATCCTCTCCTCCAATCAAACAGCTGCTTGATGAACCAGAGACTGTCACCACCATAAACACTGGGTATAGAGAACTTTACAGTGTGGCCTGTCAGAGTGATGAAGAAATCTGGACAAGTGGAAATGATGGCATAAAGCTCTTTAGTATCAGTCGGGGATCGCTACTCCAGTCACTTAGTACAACATCAGAGTGTATTCTCAATAACATAGCAGTGACTAAAAGGGGAGATTTAGTTTACGCTAATTACTTCAGTAAAACTGTGAACATTGTGAAGAAGCAAAAGACAGAGGTGATAAGATTTAAGAACTGGAATCCGCTTACTGTCTGTACCACCTCTTCTGCTGACATCCTAGTTGTCATAGAAAAAGGAGAGGATGATACCAAAGTTGTCCGTTACTCTGGCGCCACAGAAAAACAAACCATTCAGTTTGATAATAAAGGTAAACCTCTTTATTCACCACGTGGTTTATTCAAACACATTACGGAGAACAGAAACCTGGATATCTGTGTGGCAGATAATGGATTTCATGCAATAGTGGTAGTTAATATGACTGGAAAACTGAGATTCAGGTACACTGGACATACTCTTGCTCAAACAAACTTATTAAGTCCACGAGGAATCACCACAGACAGTCAGAGTCACATCCTTACAGCTGATAATGAAAGTAACTGTATCCATATCATAGACCAGGATGGACAGTTCCTCCGTTACATAGACTGTGGACTGAGTGAACCCTGGGGACTGTGTATAGATACAAATGACAATCTTTTTGTTGCTGAAATGCAAAGCAATCAAGTGAAAAAAATCAGATATAAAAAATAACTTTTTTTCAAATAACAGAAATTATGATATGTAAACATTGTATACTTGCTTTTTATATTTGTCTAAATTATTTCTTAGTTTACTAACACATAAACAAATTAAAGACAATTTAAATGCGAGATATGCCATACTTATACATAACATTAGTGGTAGTTAGTTTGTGATATAATCCATCATTACCTATGTTTTTCTCCATTTGAATACATATGCAATTGCTCAACATCTTTGATCCCTTTATTAATCATTATCAGCTGTTATTCTAATCATCAGATGTTAAAATGATTTCTCATTCATTTTTTCCTTCTTATATTCTGAAAAGTCTGTGTTTTAGATTTAACAGAGTGAATAAGAGATGACATGCTCTCTGAATCAAGCTTTTTAGCTGAGTGTCCAGTGTTTATATTGTCACTCTCTGATTTCCGTTTTTGTCCGCTGACAGTTTTTTTTTTTTGGTTTTTCGTGATCTTCTTCTTTTCATTTCTCTTCAATAATTGCTTCCATTGATTTAGTCTTTTTAAATTCTTGTGCCGAATGATCAAAGTTGTACAAATTGGAATCAAAAATGGCAGTAATCTTTCATCCTTCACATTCATCTGAAAATTATTTATTATCTCTGCAAATTATGACATTGATTAATAAACGTTTAAATTTATTTGAAATTGATTTCTATGAAATTTGTCAGACATTATTTCAGGGTCCTCAACAAACCGTAACTTTTAACGTATATTGAGAAACGTATATTGACAAACGGTTTAGAGATGAAGGTTTTGTCATGGAAAAAGAATGCCGTAAATTCGGAGCGACACCCAAATCATGAACAAAAAACACATGGCATAATCACGGCGTGACCAAAGAAAAAGGTGTAGATTTTTTCAATAAAAGAACAGAAATCTTTGAGTTTCTGTAGCAAAATAATTTGTAAATGATAGATATATCTACGAGAAAAGTTTTTTGTTTTAGTCAACAATGTCTGTTGTGAAAGTTGATATTTTTGCACACTGATTTTGCATTTCACTAATACCTATCTCATGGTGGGTTTTTAATATTGATAAATAGTGTGCTTTTCTAGTTTTGCTTCTTTATATCTATCCAGTTCAGTTGCCAATAATGAGTAACTTGAGTATGATGACGTATACGGAGACTTACCAGATTTTAAACAATTTTTCTACATTAATTTTACTTCAATTTCTTGTTGAAATTTAATTCATGAATGTTTCTTCTATACTATCAGGAGTCTCTTCTTTTTTTTTCCTCATATTTTAGAGAAAATGGGTTTTATTTACCTTTATAAATTTTATTTATTTCTTTAAAAAATATGTTTTTGTGTATGGAGGATGTGTTCAAAAATCCAGACTTGTAAGTTTGTTAATCCAAACCTTGTTAGTTTGTAAATCCAAACTTGTAATCGTATCAGTTTCATAGTCTACATATGTAAGTAGGTAATTCCGACATCCTAGCATGTACTTCCGAACATACAACTGTGTTGACTTTGAGTTTATACTATGAATGTGTGTATTTTTGATGTTGTAAACTTTGTTTTCCGGAATTTGTATTTCCGCGCTCTGAATAAAACACAAAGAAAATTGACAAGACTCTACAAATGTAAAGTCTACACGTTTGTCGAATTTTGATAAGGAGAACCTATGGAGGGTCATCTGTGCCACAATTATTTTTAATGGTCTTATTTACTTTTTCATTCTAACTTTTTGTTTTCCAAATTAAATTCTTCATTTTTACCTTACTTCTTGAAGGCGCGGATCTAGAAGGGGGTGCGGACCCCCCCTCCTCCCCTGAAATTTGCAGACTTATTAAATGTTTATACTAAACGAACTAAAAGTGACCTTGGACCCCCCTAGAAAACGCTGATCTGTGTTAAGTTGACGACTATCCCCCTCCCCCAAAACACACACACGCGCGCGCGCGCGAAATAGGTTTTGCATGCTTGGGAAACTGAGAAGTTTAATTTTTTTTTGCTTGTCAAGAAATTTTTGGGTTGGATTTTTTTGGACTGTGATGGCCCCCCCCCCTCCCCCCCCACCCGGATCCGTGCCTATTCATTTTATATTTTCCAGTTTTATTTATTTTAATATGGCAATTTTGATTCCTTTCATATTTTGATTCTTTCTTAAAATTTTAATTATGTTTCACTTCACCTAACTTAATACTTTTTTTTTTTGGTAATAACTATATGCAAAATCGAAAGTTTGTTTAAGAAAGTAGAACTTACTGAGTTAAACTAAGAAATGCGAATAAAATTTAAACAAAAAGGGGCGCTACGGCCAACTATGTACAGGTACACAGATATATTGGCGAACAGTCTAGCTACGAAACGTAGAAACATTTCCATGGAACATATTTTTTTTCATTTTAAAAACCATATGATATCATTCTTGCGTGTTCTCTCTCGTTTTCAGGCCCGTAGGAAGCATTTTCATTTGGTGGGGGTATAGCAGTGGGCACAAAACAAAAATTTCTTGATAAGCCCCCCTCCCCCCCCCCCCACGAATGAAACATTCCTGTTGAGGGGTACAACGATGAATTAGCCTTATTTCTTTTAATTCTTATGTATTTACCGACAAAATAATTGAGGGGGCACAATCAGAAATTGCTTTTTTATTGGTATAGTATATACTGGCACCCTCACCCCACTTGCTATCTACGGACCTGGTTCGGGGCCATAAAACTTAGATGAGCTCACTTTTGATCCCAGTATCTCTTTTCTACATACTATTAATTCCGTTGGTAAATGTGAGACTGTGATAAAAAATGAGCCTGTCTAAGTTTTATGGCCCTGGTGCAAGATGTTTCAAATATGATAAATATGAACGCCATTTTGGCCGCTTATGGTACACAAATATCAGGTATCTTAAAATTAATTTGTCATTTTTTTAAAGTAGGACAGAGACAAACAAATCTCAGGTCCGACGTAGAAGGGATCGAAAGGTTGGGCTCCCAACTTTTTTGTGTGGAGAATAATCTTTTGCAGCTGTTTTAATAAGAAAATTCATTTATAGGCTGTATGCCCAACCACAACCACCCATCCCCCTTATTTTGCAGTATCATTAAACTCTGGCAAATTCTTGCGTTAAAAAAAGTTACTGAAAAGTTATAGATATCCTAAACATCGCCTCCCTCGAAGGAGGAGTTTTGGCAGTTTATTTATTTTTTATCGTCAATTTTTTTGGAGCCCCACCCCTCCCCCCGATAAACATTGATACGGATCTTCATCTACTGAGTGTTTTTTTTTTTTTTTTTTTTTTAAATATGATATCATTGCAGTTACATTGGTTCTTATTAAAACTGGGGCATTGATCACAGTAGCCTAGCGGTTGGGTTCGTAGGCCATAGGAGGGTAAGAGTTTGCTTGTCCTAAGTTCCTATTGCCGGAATGTAAGACGTTTAACATACGTGTTGGTAATGACTATTCCTTCGGCATTGAAAGTCAAATTGAATAATTTTTCGGTTGAGACCTTAAAACCCGAAACCCCTCTAGATCCGCGCAAGCCGTGAGTAAGCGGGTAATGATTCATGGCAAATCGTCAAATAAAATTAAATTAAGAAGATAAAATAAAATTGGAACACATAAACAAAAAGTTAGAATTAAAATTAAACAACAAATTCAAATGAAAATATTAATATAAAATTGGAAGTTCGAAATAAAAAAAGAAATAAAATCTAAACAATTTATTTCAGTTGGAAAAAGAAGGAGTAGAATAAAAAAAGGGAAAAATGTGGCACTGATGCCCCTCCATAGTTTCTCATAATCAAAATTCGACAATCATGTAGACTTTACATTTGTACAGTGCAGGAAACTAATTTTGTTACAGCATCGATGCTGATTTGAATGCTTCCTTTGCTTGCTGATTTGAATGCTTCCTTTGCTTGCTGATTTAATGCTAGTAATCCTTATCCTGAAGCTGTTTTATAATTAGGTCAATGCTACCGGAAGTAGCATCATGCTACCGGAAGTAGATAATGAATTTCAGCATTGCCGTTTAAAGCAATAAAAGTGCCTTTTACAATTATTTGATCATAATATCTCACTATGTATCAATGATGTGAATACTTAACCAATATTCTTTCTTTCTTTTTTAATTTTTTACTGAATTAAAACTCATTGATTTTCTGATGCTAGTAGGATAATGCTGATTTTATGTAGGTCAATGCTGGTTTTATCCTTTGGTTGCTGATGCTTATCCTGGTAATGCTGTTTTTTAAATCTGATGCTGATGCTAGCTCGATCCTGATGCAACTTATGCTTATGCTGATACTGGTTTATGTAACAAAATTAGTTCCCTGCACTGTAGACTTGTCAATTGTCTTTGTGTTTTATTCAGAGCGCGGAAATACAAATTCCGGAAAACAAAGTTTACAACATCAAAAATACACACATTCATAAACTCAAAGTCAGCACAGTTGTATGTTCGGAACTACATGCTAGGATGTCGGAATTACTTACTTACATATGTAGACTATGAAAACTGATACTATTACAAGTTTGGATTTACAAACTTACAAGTTTGGATTTACAAACTTACAAGTCTGGATTTTTGAACACGATTACCCTCCATATTTGTGGTTGTTTTGTGAGCTTAATAATATACGGTATAAGCAGAATTTTAAGCGAAGATTCAATTTCAGCATTATTAGCGAGGGATCTGAGATCGCAAAAATTGAATGTTGCTAACAATTTATTCCATATCGGTTGTTATAGATATCTTTCTTGATATTTTAAAACCTCTAAAATTTCTTCTCGCTAAAAATACATGCCATTTTTTGGGGATAAATCGTGAAATTTGCATCTCGCTAAAAATTCCACTCATACGGTTTGCCAGGAAAAAACAAAATTTGCTGTGCTACTTTTCAAAACTCCATGGGAAAAATATCTTAAAACATACAAAATTAATTTAAAAAATTATTATTTTTTTTTTAAATCATTACAAATTACATTTTAATTTCTGACCAGTTTTTAAAGGTTGATTTGCTTGTTACAAGTAATGCTCAGTAATATGAGAACATAAGCTAGGGGTATGGAGGACCCT